CAGGAATGCTTGAAAAGTAGTGTCAGCAACACAGCAGCAAGTGGGGCTTTTCCATGGTATAGGATAGTAGAGAGCAGAATTGCCGGATATAAATTGAAAATTGCCCAGCTGTTCAGTAAGACAGGTGTAGGATCTGTCTTTTATATAATGGAACAGAATGGAGATTCCAGTTGCTTGTATTTGTAAATGAGGCAAATAAATCTGCACACTTGTCTGCATGTACACGGGCAGAAATATTTAAAACAAACGAGGTGATCACAGCATTTCCTTGTTAATGTTTGACTGGGCTTATATGATCTTGAACAGAAAACTTGGCATCTGGTTGGGACTGTTGCTTTCTTTCTGAGTGTGCTCCTATGTATTTGCAGATGGGGAAACTAAAGGCAGGAAAATAACTTGGTGGAAAATGTAGGGTCTGGATTGTTTAAATTATATTTTAAGCCTGATTGCACCCTGGCCCTTGGAACTCCAGGCATGATCCCTTCTAGTAATGAAAATGATTTGAATGGTATGGGGCAAAGTTATATTTAGTTTGTATTTGGAGAAAGAATAACAGCCAGGCACAGGGGAAGGCAGCTGCATTCCTGTCACTTTTTCCCAAGTCATATCCATGGATGTCAAACCCCACCCTTCCCCCCTCAGCCCAGATATCAAGAAATGAATCCATCAAACCGTACGGTTGAGGACAAGGGGAATGAAGGAGACCAGCCCCCGCGGGTTTGTGTTGAGGGCGGGTGTAATTTATTGCACCAGCTCCTTCTGTTTGCCCAGGCTGTGAAGTCAGCTGCACCCTGCCAGCCTGGCGTGGCTTAAAGGGTTTTTCTCAGCAGCACCCCAGTAACCTTAGAGAGCTGCCTCTGCAGAATGGAGAGCTGAAAGAAACAAGGAATGTTGTTTGTTTTCTCTCCCCACTGTTCCTCTCCCAACTATAGGAGTGTGCAAAAACCTGCATCAGCAGTTTTGGTGGAATACCTACCTGAGGCCTTTCCTTTGAGCTCTTCTCCCACATCCCATGGAAAAAACACTGTGTGAAGGTCTCTCTCACTGCAGGAGCATCAGAGGCTGCAGATTCTCTGCACTTACAAAAGCCGCTCTATTTCAAGAAGCACTGCCCAGTGGCTAAGAAATGAGGGACGTATGGAGCAGGAATTCAGGCTTTCCAACCAGGAACAACAAGCACTTCTCTCTCCTGCTGTGTTTGAAAGGGCCCAGTGTTGTGCCTTTACTCATGAGTCCTGGCACATGGCAATTGAATCATGGGGGATAGCTAAGTGTAAGGATAGAGGGATTGGTCTAGAAGAATAGTGTATGTTGGCATTAAAAAGTCTGTTTTGGTAGATGTCTACATTAAATATTTTAATAATATGTCTTAACAAAATAATTTCAAGTTTTGAAACACAAAGCTGAGGTCTAGAAAGTCTGAAACTGTGACCCTGGCTGCTTGGGGAGTGATTGCATCAGCTTTTTAGGTCAGCATTACAGCATGAGGCAGAAACCAGCAGCATCAAGGGATGAGGAGTTGGCAGCACCTAGGGCTCAGCCTTTAAGTTTGCTGGCAGCTGCACGTGAAGCAGCCTGTGGGTATCTTCAGATCAGTGCCACGGGAAAGCTGGCAGTTATCAGCAACACTTCAGGATGTTATGGGATGATTCTTCGAGTTGGGGAGCTTTCTTCAGTACCAGTGGTTCATGTGAGATACTGGAGTGCATGGCATCTTTTTACTCTGTCCTTTTACTCACTTCATTTCACTGAAGATGGAACTGCCATAGAGAAGCCCTAGAAATCACAGAGGGCCCGAGCAGTTCTGGGCAGCTTAATGCATAGATGTGGAAGGGGAGTATGTTTCTGTCTGGATGCTGTGGGATTTCCATGGTATGTCATGCTGTGCTAGGGAATGTGGCAGAAGCCTTTCTGCAAAACACGTGTCCCTTTCTGCACTGTCTTCCCTCCAAACACTGCCGGTGGGATGTGCCAACATGTATCCTGTCTTGAAAAACATTTATCTGTCCCTATTGCTGTCCCAAGGCAGGGTGCACAGCTAAGTAGTGAAATAAGATTGAGAAGATGCTGGTATGTTAGACAGACAGAGATCAGTGACAAACGGAGATCAGTAATGGCCAGCCTCGTCTAGTATTAGATCTGGAGATTGGCAGCCCTGTCTGCGACTGGGGTGTTGGAGCCTGATGATCCCTGAGGTCCCTTCCAACTCAAGCTGTTCTATGATAAAATCAGCATTTGATTTTGCTGTAAACATCCATGGGAAGAGAGGCTCTCGCTGGCTTGCCAGGGCCTCTGAAGCCTCTGGTACATGAGAAGGCACTGATTGCAGAGAGAGAATAGTGCTTCTGTGGAAAGTTATTAATACTAAGATGATGGGTAATAAAATAGGAATATTTACAGCACCAATAAGCAGAAGTGAGATTTTAGCATCTGTGCCTGCATCCATATGATATTGAGGAGTGCGTGCAGCTGTATCCAGAAAAATTCATATCAAGAAAAAAGCCACCAGAGGGGCTGATGGAGGGGGGAAGGGTTGCAGAGGACCCCACTGGTGTTTTGCTTTTCAGGCCAAAAGGCTCTGAGAAATACACCCTTTACTAAATGTCACAAAGGTCTGTGAGTAGATCCTGTGACTGAGGGCGATCCAACAGTTCCTCAGAATGAAAGGTCAATCAAAGGAAAATGGCATTTAGGAGGACCAAGCTTTTCGCTGACCCAACCATGTGACAGATCCAGAGGCAACCCCAGTGCCGTCAGGAGAGCTGCTTGTGCAGCCCGCCTCAACGAGGCACATGACGTGACTGGGAAACTATCTGATTCCTCCAGGTCTCAAAATTCATCAGGAGTCAACCTGAATGTCGGAAGGAAAGGGGTTTTGAAGGAGCTACAGGGAGGAGGGCGCTCGCTCTCTACTGTCCCTGCTTGCCCCGCACCAAACATTTTCCCCCAGCACTAATTATAGGTCTGCATTTGCAATCTGAATATGCACAGAGTAGTTTCCTGGCTTGCAAGTAGACTGTAATGAAGCTACTCTTGAAGTTCGACTTGACTTGGCGGGGCTCTAAAACAGAAAGAACCTTTCCAAAGGGCAACCCAGAATTTCAGCAAAGCTTTGGAATTGTTTGGACAATTCTACTTCTTTATACTGAGTAATTCAGAAGAATTTGGGGCTGGATCCTCATCTGGTGTGAGTGAATTCCACTTCTTTAAGCCAATAGGCACAATTCCTCCTGGTGGGTGGAGCTCTTCTTTAAAAGATTCAGCAACGTGGCTTGTGTCAGATCAGCATTAAGAGGGTCTCAGTATTATTTTCCCATCTACTGAGCTGCTTGGAGTTTCCTTACACTAAAAAGTATCAACAGTGTGACTCCCAGTGCTCAGAAAGTTCTGACCAGGCAGGATTTCTCACGGTGTTTTGTCAATTCCCTTGGTGTACCATTAGTTCCAATATCCTGTTCCACGTGTGTCTGCAGGAGATGTGCTGTGATGGTGGGATCTTTGCCTGGAAGTAAGTTTTCCAGAATAAATGCTCTCTCTATATCCTTTTTCTGGGACTTCAACAGATCTCCAGAATGCATGTGTCTAAACTAAGCCTCACTGTTTTAACCAGGCTCATCATTGAGCTAATTAGTGAGTTTCACACTAATTCCTGACTCTTTTCTCAGCTTGTGCAGCACTTCTGTTCAACAGCAAAGCTGTGAAATTCATGGGAGCAACTGTGACAGCAGCGATGTAGCCATTCCTGAACCAGGCTGTACGTGCTGCCTTAGTCATACTGGAGAAAATTCTGGCAGATACAAAAATAATAGGAATTAGTCATGAGGAAGTGCAAATGTGAACTCTGTAGCTTGTCCCAAGTGAGTCCTGTCCTGCAAAAGGCTAGAAACAGAAACAAAACATGAAGGAGCAGCTTCAAATCCCACAAACATCTTGTGGGTTTGGGTGCAACTCAGCATCAGCAATCCTTAGCAAAACATTTTGTCCTTATGCAAGAACAGGGCACTTATTATCACACCCATTAATACAGTATTCTGGGAAGAGCATTGCTATTGCAGTTTGAGCGGGGAGCTTGTGCAATGGACTGATTAATGAAAAGACAGATGCGGGAAAAAGAGACTGCTTCAATTTTTCAGAGCCTGGGGAAGAAATTCCAGGTTGAATTCAGCTATGGGACCATTCCTACCGTTGGAGTTTTTATCACTTCTTTTTCTACATATTGGCCTGTCCAGATGCATCCTGTTATCACATGGCAAACAGCATGTTCACTCTGTAGTGTATCAGGGACTCTCTGTTTTGCATGAAATTATCACCTTTTACAAAGAACAAACATTTGTCAGCTGGGAGAATCCAGCAGGGTTGCAAAGGCAATTTATAAATATATCCTCTTTTGGACTGCAAGCAACGCTAACGTGTCAGGCTGTGCTGTGCTTTGGTGGAGCATTATCCAATGAATGCTGTATGTCTGACAACTGCAGGCGTATGTGTCTCAGCTAAAGCCCATGTGGTGACTATTAAAGGGAATTACTGTACATGCAACATGAAAGGGCTATAACTTTTTGAGGGGGGCAGTGTTTTGTTTTAAGTACCGGTGCTGTTACTAATTTTGCCTTCAGGATTGGTGTTAAGTTTAAAACAACTACAGTTGCTTCACCAAATACAGCTGAACAGTTTGTGTATAGAGCTCCTTCTTGCTGTAGGAAGGCTGCTTTGGAAAAAGAAGAGAGGATTGCACTTTCCTGGTGTGTTAGAGCTGTGGATTGGTGCGAGCTGCTGCTGATGGTGAAGGTGTAGCTTCGGGTTTTCCACAAACCTGGATGTCTCTTGATGTCCCTCTCTATAATCACCTCCATTTTTAGCTCTAAAACATTTTTGGTGAGCACTTCTTGCTGCCTCTCTGTGTGGCAGTCAGTGTAGTGCCTTGATTGATGGCTGACCTTTAAATCAGTGCTGTATCAATGGCAAAAGCAGTAACAACTCTACCTCCCTCTGCTCTTTCTTAGGCCCTCCGAGGATTGCCGATAAAGTGATCCACCGTCAGTCTGTGAGGCTGGGCAGGACCATCAAGCTCCTGTGCCCGGTGGAGGGTGATCCCCCACCCCTCACCATGTGGATGAAGGACGGACGCACCATCCACAGTGGCTGGACGAGGTTCCGGATCCTTCAGCAAGGGCTGAAAATCAAAGAGGTAGAGAGTGAAGACGCGGGAACCTACATCTGCAAAGCCACCAATGGTTTCGGCAGCACCAATGTGAACTACACCCTCATCGTGATAGGTGAGTAAAGCTACAGAAACGCCAGGCCTGACTTTCTCTGCAGGGAGGAGAGGGCGAGCTGATTTCTGGGTAGCTGTCAGTGACTGAAGATTTGCTTTGCTAATCATTGACTGATCTCCACTCTTAACCAGACCCTTCCAGTGTTTGAGGACTGCCAGAGCTGGCTGTGTTGCTGCACATCTTCTGCAGCCGTCTGCAGGCAGATAAGATTACACAGTGCCAAAGGTTACAAATAAACAGAAATGATGCAATAGTCACTAGGGTCTAGATCACAATGAATTCCACACAGGAAAGGCTGTGTGATAAGGAGAGGTCACACCGATCTTTATGTTTGCTGTTGGAACTGGGTAGTTCTCAAAACAAACGTTAAGGACCCAATAAAAAAAATGTACAGCTGGAAGATCTATGTACTGAGCTTTTGCAAAGTGTTATCTTTAGGAGTAATAATAATTAGATTGAAACAAGGTTCAGAGATAGTATATGACTCAGGGATGCTCACTTGCAGAGAAATTCACTTGATGGTAACAGGATTCAAAAAGCTTTGATAACAACTTGGTGATCATGGGTTCTCTGGTTGTGTTTTTGACTGGCCGCGAAGGGCTTGCTTGGTCTGGTGATGGGATTTTGGGGTGAGGATTCCTGAAGGTCCGTAGAGAAACTTCTCTGGATAATCAGAGATTCCTCTGGTGTGGCTGCCACAGAAATGTGCTCATTACCCTTTGCCTGTGTGGGGGAAAAAGAGCTGTGAAGAAGCTGGGTTTGGATTACACTTGACATGCTGGTGGATATGAAGAGGCAAAGGGAAATGTTACAAAGAGAGAGGAAATTAGGCATCTTGCTCATGCTATTGCCAGATACTCCCAGTATCTGGTCCACAGAGCTCTGTTTTTCCTTGGAAAGTAGAAGTGAAGATGGTGCTTTGGGCTCCATCCTGCTGGTTGGCACTTGGCTGGCACTGTGTTTGTTTGTTTTTTTTTCCCAATTTATTCTTTCTGTTCTTAGTAGGAGGACTGCTCTGGACTCAGAGCATGTAGCAAACACTTGACACTGCTTGGTAGAGGATTATCACCCGATAACAGGGTGATTCTTGGTGAATGCACTTTGCAAAGCCAATATGGGAAAGAAACCAGAACATACGTGTCTTATCAGGAAAGAGGTACTTAGGGGAGGGAACACTTGCTGTACGACTCCTGTAGCATCAGTGATAGAAAACTGTAAAAGCCAGCTTATAGCTTACATACTGTTTGTAGCTTGGTTTTCATCATACACATTCCTTTCCTTGTTCATTCCTTCTTCATTGCTACTCTGAGCTGAAAGAACTAAGTGAAAATAGTCTATAAAGATCGATGCCTCTGCAAACTCTTGGACATGGTTTCCAGACTGTTTAATGTGGAGAAGAGAATGTTATAGGAACCTGCTTCAGTCATGCTTATGCTGTTCACAGAGGTTGCCAAAATCTTTAATTTCTGTCATCCATTGCCTTCTGTAACATTCAGGGTCCAAGCTGGCTGCTGTTACACCAAGGCAAAATGGCTTTTCAGCATCTGTAAGACAAAGAAGGCCCTTGGTAGCATGACTGAAAGAAATGAGAGAGAAAAATGAGGTGGCGCCAAGGTAAAAGCTGACTTGTATTCAAGAATGACTGAGGCAAAAATTGCAATTCAATTGGTCAGGGAAATTGGATTATCAAATTAAATTGTATCAAGAACAATAGTGTTCATTATATTTGGCACTGAAAAGCCTTGAGCACAAACACCAGTTATTTGGGGCCTCATCACACAGCTATGGAAGGAAATAGCAAGCTCCCACCAGCCTCTGTGGATGTGAGATTGAACGCTATGCAAACAAATATTGATAACCAAGTGCCAAGAAAAGGGTAACTTTAAACTAAATGTGTGGCAGGCATATGGACTGAGTTATTGTTCATCTCTTTGCATCCTTATTTTAATGCTGGCTGAAGACAGTGATTCTTAGAGTCTTTGCACTTTTGTACCTTGTCTCACAGCGTACACTTGTGCATTGTTGCTCAGGCCATTTTTGATGGATTATTGCTGTCTCTCATCTCCAGTGATACAGAAGTGTTCTTGTAGTGTTCAAACCAATTTCTTTTCATTACAAGAGTTTCCCTGAAAACAAATGTTCCCCAGAGTCTTTCTTTCCAAGGTCTTCAAGAAAACACGAGGTATCAGTGACTTATTCTTTCAAAGGTTCCAAACGTTTAATGCTTTAGCCAGATGCTCACGTTCATCGTGGTGAACATGCTTTTGGTTGAGAAAGGTCCTTTGTTGATTTTTGAGAAGGAGGCAGTGTTTTAAAACCAACCACATGTTGGTTTTGAGGATGAAGATCAAATTGATGGAGTTGTTTTGTTTGTGTTCCGGAGGGCACAAACTTCATTAGGCACAGTGGCCTTTTGAACCATATGGGCTCTCATTCTCCAGCTTCTTCAAAGGAGAAAAGCCCTCCTATAAACAGCTTTACTGCTGACACCTAATGCGTACAAACCATCAGGTGTCAGACATGGGCAAGGTGGTTAAGATATTAAATCTAGAATAGAATCAAAGTATCCATTAAACACTGTGTATTTAAAAATCTATTTTGGCATGAAAACATTCTTGGAATTTCAGTAGTGATATCTGAAATCCATACAGTAGCTAGCTTATTGAAGGATTTTGTAGTTATGTTATACAGTTTTAACTGACTTTTTCCAAACCACTGGCAAGTGAAGAACTGCAACTGCTATGTTATATACGTATAAAGTGCAGAACGTTAACCTGAGGGCTTACTCGAGATCCTACAGAGAGCAAAAGCTAAAATTCAGCTGCACAGAACCTCTCTGCATTCAGTGCTGTATAACTCTTACTAATATTAACTTCAATTAATCCCTATATTCATTAGAGTTCAACACAGAGCCAACAAAAGTTTGTGACACTGTACAGAAACAGATCGGTGGATCCACTGACATCAGTGGGTGGCAGAGGTGAGCTCCCATGTTTATTTGTCAAGCTGGTTTCTGTGAAATGTAATAATGTGGGTTTAAGACTCTTCTAATGACACTTGTGGCTCTCGTGCCAGGTCTTGTACTCAGTGCACAAGTACAGCAAACTTGGGGCAGCCTCTGCCTGTCTTGTAGACATACCTACGTGTTGCCTGACTGGAGAAGTTCCAGTCTGCAAGTGTGGATGGGAAGGATTACTGGATTTTTACAGATGCTAACTAAGGCAAAGAGAGATCAAGTGATTAATTCAAGACCATAGAAAATATGAACTGCGGCTGAGTTGAGTCTAATTTCTTAAAACTCACCCTACTCTTCCTCCACATCGCTTGGTAAAGTCTTCTCTTCCTAATTATATTAAAAGGGAGCCTTCTCTTATTCTGGCGTTTTGATCTCAAAGGTTTTGCCAACCCACATGGTAGCAATTGGTTTCTGCCCTGCTTTTTTCTACATTCTCTCAGACTACAGGACCCAGATCCCAAAGATCCAAGGAATCCTGATCTAATACAACCCTGCATGAAATGTAAGCCAGTAAAAGCAGATAACCAATATAAGTCAAAACTACAATTTCCTTTCCTAGCCAGCCTTAATAGTTTTTGTGGCTTACCACAAGATTTGGGATGGCAATTATACTGCAGACAGATTTACTAATGTTGGAAGAGGAACTCTTCTTTAATCAGCATTAAATCTGCATTGCAGTTATTAAGTACAATGGTTTCTTATTATGGGGAATTATCTGTTGCTCATCAAAAGAAATGTGCTGTACTTCCCCAAAAACTTACTTCTACAATGGTGCCTTTGAAAATCTTATATTTGAATGCCCACTACAGGTTTAATTTTTTTTTTTCTTTCCCAGCTGAATCAAGTCAGAAAAGATGGTTTACAATCTACAGGTGTGAAACTTAACTTTATTTTGTTTTTAAATTCTTGGTTGAAACCTGTGGTTTCTTTACTGCAGTATGAAGCTTCCTTGCCAGTAAGCTATAAAAGGAAGCCTAAGGCCAAAGAGGTAGAAACAAAATATTGAATAACTGCTTATTATTTGAAAACCGTCCACCTTACGTACTGAGTGAGGCACATTCTGCAGAACGGAGTTCCAAGTAATAGTTTAACTGAAGCCTGCATCGAGTTGCAGCCAGAGTGGAGAAATTCTGAGGTTGCATACAGCCATCAATTCCTTTGCTACTTATCCTTTGATTTTACAATCAGTTGTGGATTCCCTGAGATTTTAGTGGGTCACATGGAAAATACAGGAAATCAGGAAAATAATGTTCCTTCTTACAATATTGCATCAATAGCTTTAGTCTTCTGCACACACTTAAGACACTGGTGGAAAGGGCTTCACAATCTGGAAGGGCACTGGACAACATTCATTACCATCCCTTTCTACAATAATAAACAGGATTTCTTGTTCCAGAGGTCTGCTCATTCTCATTGTTCATTGATGAACACCTGTAGAAAACACTATTAGTAAATATTTATGCTGTGGCATAATGACCTCTTTCACTAATGCACAACACAGAAGGCTTTTTACTTGCAGAAATGTTCTAGGTGAAATCCTTCAAGGTGTGCCAGCATTGCAACACACAGGACTATTGCTACAGGTGCTACCAGTAAATACTTCATCTTGCATCAACTGCTCAACCAAGTGATGAAAGATCAGACTTTCTGTATTTATTTTTGTGTCTGCACGCATGCTTCTTACTATCTTCTGCAGCAAGGAAAATAGGAAGCACTAGCATCTGTAGAGTTCTTGCTTCCCTTGATGTTTGTCAATTACATAAGACATCTTGCTTCATTGCAACTCAGCACACTATCTCAAAAGATCAACATTTAAATCTAAGGAACAGCTTCTCCATTGTTTTTCTTTCTTACCGTGTATCTCTGCCTGTCAGATTTGCTTTTTCTCTTCTCTGGGTTTATTTGGGGGAAGGTTTGTGGGAAGAATCTATCACTGTCCAGTTCACACTCCCCTTTCTGCTGCCTGGCCCTATGAGTGGCAAAG